ATTTGTCTCGGCCACCACATCGCCATCGCTCAAACCACAGCATGTTACGTCGACTAGAACACTGGCTCGGGGAGGAAGCGTCACGCTCTGTTCAGAAATACGGAGTACGTCGACACGCATTCCGTCATCCTGCACGTTGATTGCTCGCTGGGCTGAGAACGTGACGCGGCGCTCTTGCAGATCAATGATAGCTCCATTTTCCTGTAGAAAATCAACTCCCAGAATGACGTCACGGGAGCATTCACGTAGAACAAGGCAGCTTGCTACGAATGTGTACCCTTGAATCTGTACTCTAGTTGTGCAGGCACCCAGTGGAGTAACGACATGGCCACCAGCTGTCCGAATCTGCGAGTTATGCCATGGTGTGATCACTTTCTTCAGCTGCGTTGTCAGTTTCCCGCTCAGTATGGAATAGTCTGCGCCGGTGTCCACTAACGCATTAACTACACAACCATCAATTGTTACTGCTATGTCGAGTGAAAGCCGGCTATCCTTTACAGCAGCAGGTGATGTCGGACCAGTTTCTGTACAGTTCTGCGTCAATAGGAGGTCTTCAGCGCTTCGACGTTCAGCGACCCCGCCCCCAGAGGTCGCTTCGGCTAGTTTTCCCGGCGGGGGCTGGGAGATCGTGCGGTAGAATACCGCTGGGGCGTTGATGAAAATCGCCTCGGTGATGGCGAGCGCGACTGGCGCCCGGCAGACGGTGGTGCATGCTGCTGGGAGAGGTAGTTTTGGATGTCGCGTGGTTTCTGACCGTAACGGGGTGGCGGCGAGTACGCAGAGAAGCCGCGAAGCCCAAGACGGCAATATGGGCACTGGCGGTACAAGTGATCAGCTTCTCCGCAGTGAAAGCACAGAGGCCGGCGATCAGGTGTGCGCCAAACATCAGACTTTCGAGGAGACGTGCGCCGATCGTCGATGTACTGAACTGGTTGCACTGAACGATGGGCGACAGAAGCACCAGGGACAAAGGGCAGGGGCGGTGGCGTGTACGTGCCTTCGTAGTACGGTATGTGCTGCGCTGACTGTAGTGAAACAGCAGGAACAGGATGGACGAATAATGGCGGCGTTGCAGCAGGGCGTTTCAAGGCTTCCGCGTAGGTTGTCTCACGGCGGTATTCAGCAGGAGCTGGCACAGCTGTATCATGAGGCAAGGTGTCCCAGAGGGCCTGGTGCAGCTCATCCTTGATCACAGTTGCAATAGAGTTGACTGTAGGATGAGGTGTTACACCAGCCTTTTGTAACTCTTCACGTACTATATCACGGATGAGTTCACGTAGACAGTCGTTGTTGGTTCTAGTGGCGGTGAAAATGTCGGCAGTAGACATGCCACTGACTTGCCTGTCGTATTGGTTGGATCGCTGCTGCAGCATTTTTTCCATTGTCACGGCCTCGGACAAGAACTCCGCGACCGTCTTCGGAGGACTTCGCACGAGGCCGGCAAAAAGCTGGTCCTTGACACCGCGCATCAAGTGACGCAACTTCTTGTCCTCAGTCATTCTTGAATCGGCCCGTCGGAAGAGGCGCGTCATGTCTTCGACGTACGCGGTCACAGTTTCGTTTGGCGACTGGACGCGGGCAAGAATAGCTCGTTCAGCTCTTTCTTGGCGGTCAGTGCTGGCATATGTCTGCAGAAGTCTACGACAGAATTCGGGCCACGTCGTCAGCTGCTCCTCCCGATTTTGATACCACGTGCGAGCCCCGTCTTCGAGATAGAAGTAGACACGACCCAGTTTCGCCGCGTCGTCCCACTGATTCAAGTTGGCTACGTGCTCGAAGTCCGCCAACCAGTCCTCAACGTCTTCGCGCTCCGTACCATGGAACGTCGGCGGTGCCCGTGGGCTTTCCAACGTATAGCGGTTCGGCGACGTGCTTCCCGTGCTGGTTGCCAAGGTTTGTACCGAAGTGCTGGTCATGTTTGTTGACGTGGTGGGAGCAGTATCGTTGACTTCCGGAGGCAATCCTCTGATTCGGCGGCTGGTTCGATGCACGGGAGTGTTGACTGGCACTGGACTCGTATTACGGCTTCCTGGGGGGGTCTGCAGCATCCGTGAGGCTACCCAGCACCTTCCACCAGTTTGTCACGATGAGTCACAAGTACTTGGGGGATTTATTGAACGACCGGGTAGCTAGCTCTAGGACGATGTGTCAGTCGTGGCCCGCTCTCGAGCAGAGAAGAACGCGATCTTCTTTTTTCCTCCAGATTTAGAGCCGCTCTTGCTGCCAACCCACTACGTGCTGGCGGCAATATGCATTAACCAGAGAAAACATGTGACCTCCTGAAAGAATTAGTAGACATTAGCTGAAAGGATAGCCTTGCTTTATGGCCGAATATATTAGACAAAAGAGTGAGTAAACCACCTTCTCTGGATGGACGATCTAACCGAAATGGTCGGTAATTACACAGACTAAAGAATTTATCTAGAGATAACGAAGTTTCTTGTAATGTGATAACATCTGGATGAATCTGAGAAATTAAAACATTGAGGTCAGTAGAAGCAGCAAATATGGATTGACAGTTCCACTGCAGCACTCTCATCTATCTCCGTCCGGAGACAAAAGCACCATTGAGGCTACAGTCCTCTTCCAAAATGTTAGCTCTACCCTTGACCTGAGGCAGAACTTTCTTTGATTTATAGTTAGTACAGGTATCGGAAACTTTTAGCGGAGGCCCCCTTCGTTTCTGTGCACGCGGGTCAACATCCATGCTTGCACATTCTGTAAATCTGCATGGCAGATTTGTGAGTCTGATGAGCTGCCACTCTTTGCAGACAAGCTGGAACTAGGACCCTCATTCGAGGGTATCATCTGAACACTGTCTACTTATGAGGGAACATTTCCTTGGCTGTGACCCACTGTCGGAACACTACCCACTTGTGGCAATAGCCCCATTTGTGACGCTAATAACCCACTAAGGCATTCGGACACAGTCTCTACGACACGTTGCATCAGTTTTGCCATAGCTTTCTCGATCGATTCTGCGATCACTTGTAAAATATTCGCCTCAATCATTGCCCTGGTGACGTGCAATTACGCTAGCATAACCAATGTTCTCTTCGGCTTTCGTTTATCGCTGAAATAGCCTCTCTGCAGCATCGCCTTTGTCCATTATCTCTAAGACTTGTATCTCTTGGTTTCTAGCTGGGCATGTAGGGTTATCAGCCTTGTGTGGGTTATCAGCCTCCACACGGGCAGCACTTGAGAGGACTTGAGCAGAGCAGTCGTCCGGGGAGTGACCCTCACCACAAGAACAACAATGCAAAGTGCAGATTTGCAAGCTCCCATACTATGGCCATAGCGCCAACAGTTACGACATTGTAATGGATGTAAGGCTACTGGGTCTACTCTAAAAATCAAAAGCCACATTCTGATTTCCAAAGGGCATGACATACCGGCAAATGTGGCTATCATCGACTCAGTGGGGATTTGTTGTTTATCTACTGTTCTGTTGCACCGGTGCATGGCTATCGCGCCAGCGGCGGAAAGCGTCTTGAGTGTCTCTTCTCAGCTTATTAAGTTATTATCTACATCGCGAACAATCCCCTTGGTGCATGTGAAGTGTGGTGGGATGAAAGGATTCACTTTCATCGATCCAAATGTCGAGCACTTCAGAAGATCATGCACACGAGCTTGGTCAGGCGATCAACAAATTATCCCACCTTTGCCAAACTGTTGAACGTCAGTAATGTGAAAATAGTGGCGCGTGGCCGACTGGAGCTCAGCTTGCACCGCTTTCGGGTTGGTAAGCCGAATGGATCCTTCATGCAGGGGCACTAGAGCTACAGGAATACTGTTTACACCACCGCAAAAGAACGTTTCAAGGGGCATTTGATCGGGTGGAAGAGAGGCCGACCAAGGCGGAGGCTGCACGTGGCCACCTCCTGGAGAATTGGTCGATATCAGCTCAGCTAGCAAAGCAAACTGTAATTGGTCTAACATCCTCTATTATTTAGATCCTTAGACGAAACCCCTGAGTGCTCACTCAGCTTTCGCAGAAGGCCGCTCGCCAGGACATGATGGAACTTCTTCTTGGGCTTCCGCCAGCTATGCTACTCAACTTCTTCTTCTCCTCGTATACATAGATGCGCGAGCACTGATTTCCAACAATGGCACCTTGAAGTTCCCACACCAAACACCATAAACATCATAGATTTTGAAGTAGTCTACTGGATCCTATGTTGTTTCTAATTTTAAAATTGAAATAGGTTATCACCTGTAGGTGCCATAGGTGTAGCATATGAAGTTCCAAAAATTTTATCGAGCCAATGTTATGAAAATCCGAAAAATACATTTTGAAATTTGTTACATCGCATGCAAAAATTTCGGAGCGAAATTGAAAAATGACACATCAATTTTGATTTCTTTTGATAATAAAGAACTTATGATAGTGAAACACATGGTATTAGAGTTCTCAGAGTGCAGTTTGTCAATCTAAACCAAGTCATTGTTTTTCTTCAGGTCTCTAGAGCCAGGAAAACTGAATCACAAAAAAAGAAGTTCTCTGGCCAGGAAAATTAAATTTGTATTCTAATGTAGCGAGGGCAGTGGACACAGACCCCCGTTTCACTAAGAAGGCATATTGTCCTTGTCTCGCTCTACTTTTTCCCGCAGTCAACCTAGAAGTATTTGAGTTTTTATTTCGCACCAGGGTATATTTGGTCAGAGTTAGGTATGAGTTTAAAAAGGTGATTTTCTTTTTCTTTGATGGTGTCAAAGGGCCATTGTACAATGCGGGGTCGGCGTAATATTGTGTCTTTTAACCTAGTTTCCTAATACATTATTTTTATGGGAGTTTTGCAAGGACTGAGCCCATTCGTCATAAAATGCAGGTACTTGCAAAACCTGGGAACATATAATCGAGGTTCCAGTGTATATATTGGGAACCTTATGCAAGAGACTGGAAAGTGCAGTGTGTAGGAATTGTGTGTGGTATAAGTTGTGAATGCATGACTTGCAGCGTGTGAAAACAGGCATCAATTTCCTCTTTCTTCTCTGCGCAGGCTTGCATCAAGCAAGGAGACATCTTGTTGAACAGGATACAGAAGCTGAGTCGCGTAATTAATATCTAAGCCCAACCCGCAGAGGCAAATAAATGCGTTTTTGATGTCCATGTTGACTTTGCAAATTTTTATGTACATGCACATTTTGAAATGTGTACAAACTCGTACACAGCCACACATTTTGATGGAATCTCGTAATTTTGCTGCTTTTGTCATGAAAACGTGCATAATGTCATGCCCTTGAGTCTCTCATTTGTGTGTAAGCCCTGTTCATTGTTAGGTATGCGAGACCTGCACATTTCTCGGCAATTATGAATGGCTGGTAGTGCTGCAATTTCACTAGTATGTGGCCTCTGCTGGAGAAGTGCAGTGCCGCGGCAATGATTTACATTCGAAATAGTTCATTCTATCTCTGAATGTTTATTTTATGTGTCTCGTCGATGGCAAACACGGTGCGTTTCACTTAAGAACACCTTTGGCTGCAATATTCTTTGATAAACAATAGAATGTTACAGGTGACAGCAAAGTCGTAGGCTGCATGGGAAAAGAGCCCCTTTTGGCTTTTTCTGAGTGAAGGATTATGTGAAGGTGAAAACTTACCTGAAGGTGAGAATAGCAATGGGAAAAACAAAATCTCGGTCTCTTTTCTGTAGCTCAATACTCGAGTTTTTGGTAGCACTGTGGAAGCTATGAAGCCGGCATGTTTGGTACTTTGCCTGAAAAATAGTACATACTAATGTTTAATGATTTTCTCAATCGGCTTGCTGGAATAAATAACAGCTGTATTCATGATGAGACGGAAACAGTTGCAGGAGTAGAATTATTGTCCACTTTGCAAAAATGATTTTCTTTTCATTACATTTCTTAGTCTGCACCGCCTTTTCAACACGCCTATTTTCCCAAGTGTACATAGCATTCTTGACGTAGTGGTTCAGCCGTGCCACAAACATACTGTTTAGTTCGCCAAGAGAAAATATACTCAAAAAATGGCACTATAATATACACTGAACGATCAAAACGTCTCTCTCATTCACACTTCTCGTGCAAATGTTTTTGTAAACTTGTTATCAATGGGAGCGATACTGAAATAAGCCGCAATCTGCTGTACTATTTGGGAGCAACATGAATATGCGGAAGCCCTGCTTCATAACCTTCACCCTACTGTCACTGAGTGTAGTACACTACTCTTTTCCCCCAGAATATGTGGGGGAACTAGACTTCTGGGAGGTCTTGTTATAGTTAGTTGCTGTTGAAGGCTTAGCAGCCCTTTGTTTAGGTCTAACATGCCTCAACGGACGGTAGCCTGGAAAAACATGTGACGGTCTCAAGCGTGACATTAAAAAACTGAAAAGCCGGGACGAACCCAGACATTCTGCGTGGCACCCAAGTGTTCTACCACAGGTTCTTTAAGCGCTTTGAGAAAAGTTGGGCATCGTGTCAGGCGACTAGTCTCGTTGAGAGGTTAAGAGGCATAATGTAGCGTGGCAGAAGCTTCGAACTGCAGCAGATGTTGCAGTGCGGGACTATTGCAACAAGTGATGTAAAGAGTGTCGCCCAATACAAATGGCTCAGCACCACCATCCACAGCATCAACAAAGCACGCACCTATTTAGGTGCACATGTTGCTTTGCAGTCGTGTAGTGGGAACTTCGCTAAAGTTTGCACATCTTTCAAAAATAGATATAAAGATGAAAACTTCGAGGCCATTGCCAAAATTGCCATGGTGGATACTGGAAAACATGGCGGGCGTAGTAGAAATAATAGTGGGCATGGTGGAAATTATGATGGATATGGTTTGACGTAGTGGAAAATATGGTGGGTATGCCGGGACATAGTGGGTGGTATGGTTTACAGATGATGGGCAAAGTGGAAATGATGGTGGAAAGCAGAGGCTAAATAGTGGGCAATAATGGGACACTCTGCCCACCATTGCGATAATGCTGGGAAGCTTTAAGCATATGGTGGGTGGTGCTTATTATGGTGGGCCACATGGTGTACCAAGCTGAGAAGCTCTGCCCACCATCGCGATAATGCTGGGAAGCAGTGAGCAGATGACGGGTGGGCTTATAGTGCAGGCAATTTATATAGTGTACCTCTCTGGGATCTATCTGTACACTACATGTTCTACCACCATGATTTCCACCAAAGGTTAGGCCTACCGACCGAGCCCGTACAATTGTGTTATCCGTACTTCCGGGTTTCAGAATACACGATTTCGACGATTAAGTATTACAATACAGCGCAGCCATGGCATCAATTAACCTAAATGAAGCATTTTTCATTGTGTATGGTGTCCGCTCAAGAAGCAACAAACATCGATGCGACGCGATTAAAGCACTCCCAGAGAACGTAAGTGTCTTCTCACCGACAGCCGCCGGTCGCACTCGCCGGCATTTCTCTAGCTTTTGTACAAGAACTCAGACGTGGCAATTCGTATGCTTGGTGAACCAATATGATAGCATAACGTTTCCGGCACACTGCATTCGTTTTGGCCAAGCCGTTATGTAGTTGTTGCTTCAGCGAAAGAGCTACAGCATTGCGCTGGCACGACCGCCCTCTACATTGCGCGAAAAGCATCCCAATACTCAATCAAATAAATTAGGCGGGCGTATCTATGGAATGAGCCTAGAGGCGTCATAAAGCGTGAGCAGATGTCGCCCTTTACAACGAGCGCGAAACGGATATTAAACTTGGCAGACCCCGCCGGTAAACTGTTGCTGCTCCCCAGTCCACTTGATTTTTTTCTTGAAGTTGTGAATTGTAAAGAAAAATAGCACTAGTGCCATTAACACAGTGGCAATTGTTACAGGCCGCAGTTGCTTGTGTTTAATAAATGTGCAATTTTTAGTAGCAGGTGTAGATCTTGTCTATGTTGTGTACACGACAAACATAACTTAAGTTGAACCTTAAGTTTGTATGCCAACTAAGTATTTAACACACGATCAACGTCATGTTGGTGTGGCGCAGTGGTTAGCGAGAAAGACGAAGACGACGTTCTGAACGGACGCGTTTTTCATGTTCTCCGCTTCGAAGGATTTATCGGCCATGGGCCGAGGTGCTGCTCAGGCTTCAGCCAGCGGCAATGACTACCGTGTTGTACTTTCTCGCCTTCCCACCGGTAAGCTTGTTGTGGACTCTGTTTTTCTACATGCGGACTTAGCTGGTCGCCCCTACCGGCTTCAAGATTTTAGAGATGCTCTTCGGGACATCATTGACTTGAAGGAAATAAGCTCCATAGGTCAATTTCAAATGTCTCATGTTTGGATGGTCACATGCAAGTCAACGCTGACGAAAACAAAGTTGGTCACAAGAGGCGAATTTTTCGTCAAAAGTCGTCGATGCCTCGTTATAGACCCGGAGTCCACGGAAGTGAAGCTGAAGCTTATGTGGCTTCCTGAGCGCTTGGAGGACGCCTATGTGTGCGAGGCACTGCAAGCTTTTGGGAAGGTCAAGACAATATCACAAGAAAGCTGGAAAGTAGCGGACATGGAACAAATGCGGACGCTAAATAGGGATGTTGTTTTGTCCCTTGCTGATGGAGTTCGCATTGCGGATATTCATCATATTCTTGTTGTCTGCGGAGTGCAAAGCCTCGTCCTGATACCTGGCCGCCCACCACTTTGCCTTCGTTACAGTAAGGTTGGACACATCCGTCGAAACTGCAGGACCCCTCGCTGTGACAACTGTCGACGCTTCGGTCATTCGGCCGAAGATTGTGTTATGACATACGCCAACAAGCTGCGACAGCACACAAAACTGCCAGATGATAACCTACAAGAGCATATTATGGATGCCACCGAGGTTCTGGACGCAACGGGAGACACTCCGTCAATGTCATATGATGCAGGCTCTACCACAAGGAATCCAGAAGAGGAAAGAAAGTCACTCGCTGTTGACACAGTTGAAACTTCTGCGTGCAGAGAGCCAAGTGAATCATGCAAGCAGCATACCCTAAACGACTGGAAAACGACTGGAAGTGGAAGTTTCTATGAAGAGAGCTGTTGCGCTGACCCATAAAGATGTCGAAGAACCACCAGTACAAGATAGAGACTCTGGGCTGGATGCCGCAGAAAGTTCAACACCTGCTTGCGCTGCAGCTCCGCAGCAGCTTTTTCATCATGGTGCAGTGTCGGAAGATGATATGCAGATCTTACGGATACAGCAATACTGAAACGTCGCGCATCCTCCAGCTCGGATTCAAGCAAAGGGAGTGACCCTGCGTCAGTGACTAGGGAGTCACGCCGTCGCCGAAAGTCCACGCCAAAGGGGAAGTGTCGCCGATCCCGATCTAGGAGGCCTGCTGGGGGCTCACGGGAAGCCTCAGCGCCAACTCTTGGGACTGATCAAGAGGGACAATAAGCGAATTAGAAGGTAGTCACCATGGCACAGTCTGAGCGACTCATATTTGCCACCTTGAACGTACGCGGCCTTAGGTCTTCGCAGAAACAAGCACAGCTCCGTAAACTTCTCAATCGGAAGCGTCTCGACTTTGTCGCCATCCAAGAGACAAAGATCGAGAGCGAGGAAGAGACCGAGAAGGCCCTGCGGCCTTTTCTGTCTCAGTTTAATGTGTGTGTTTCACATGTTAAAGGTTTATCTGCGGGCTGTTGGTTGTTTCTGAGAAAAAGCCTACCCTGTTCAGCATTCTGCACTAGTGTTGATGAAGAGGGCAGGTATATATGCTGTGATTTTTGTGGCAAGGAGTGCCATGGAGAATTATCAATCTATATGCGTTTAATGATGTTCCGAAACGACTTGAGTTATTTGAAAAAGTGCGTAATTTAATTGACGTCGACAGATGCACGGTACTTATGGGAGATTTCAACTGCGTATGTGAAGCTATTGATCGTTATAATTCGTCTGGAAAAAGAGAAAAGGAGAGAGGAAAAAGAGACAGGAGTGGTGAGCTTTTATCCGGTATTGTAGATAATGCAGGACTAATTGACATCGGGGTCTCGAATCGGGCAACAGCATATACAAGAGTACAAGGCAGCTCTCAAGCTCGCCTTGACCGGATTTACGTGTCCTCATCACTCCTATCTCGTAAAATTTCCTGCAGCACCGAGGCTGTATCATTCTCAGACCATTGTATTGTCATAGCGCAAATTGG